AACAGTTCAAACAGTCAGGAAAATATGGAAAAAACACTCACTCAGTGAATTTATTTATTCAGCTTAAAAGGTGTTTCTTCCCAAGGAACTGGACTTTCCTTTCAAAGGCAGTAGATCGAATAGGAGAATTGAGTTCATAAAATGGATTCATTGCAAACTGGGGAAAGGAGAAAAACTTATCAATAAACACAAATACAGCCCTGGAAATGTCACTTAGGTGAAATCTGCTACTAGCTTTTGGCCTATTTAGTGCCACAAAGAGCACAGAACTCCTAAACAGTCCTTTCTTTCCAGGCCCTTGCATTCTCCCCATATATGTGCAGAGCCATCCCCTAGAACCAGCTCCTCAGAACAAATGCATCACAACACCAGTTGAAATTTCTCTTTTGGAAATAAGCATCATCTGAGTGCCTGCAGGAGGCTGAGATTGTGATGTTTCCCATGACAGTTTGCCATTACCCCATCTAGTGGAAACACACTGGGATGTGAGAACAGGGCTACGTGTTCTGAGAGCGAAGCACTGCCGCCAGGCTTTGTACAACAGTCCTTTCCTTTTTTATCACCATTAATGACACAATACTGCCCCAAAATGCCTCAAAAGAAGTTGCCTCCCAACTTCTCTATTACCCAGAGAAGCTGTGGATGCCCCATACCTGGAACCCTTCAAGGTCAGGTTGTGTGGGGCTTTGAGCAACCTGGTCTTGTGGAAGGGTGTCCCTGCCATGGCAGGGGGTTGGAACGAGATGATTTTTAAGGTCCCTTCCAACCCAAACCATTCTATTCTGTGAAAAAACCACTGGACTAAAATGAAGAGTAAATTCTGAAAGAGCACAGTTTATAACAATTTGGAAAAATCTACTCTGTTTAATGCAAAACAAAGCCTTTGTGTCACGTTACCAGCTCTGGCTGATGTGGACAGGTTCTTCTCCAGTTATATAGGCCTCCATGAGAAAATGTGCTAAAACACCTGTGCCTGACCATGTACAGCAGAACACGCTTAAAAGTACTGCAGCAAGACCATAAGAATTGGGTTCTTACCTTTATATACAACTCATATACATCATTAAAGAAGTTCTTAATTCCATCTTCTAGCCTTACATCATGAAGCATTATAAATCTCATATGTACAGCAATTAAGGAAAATAGAACTTTCAAGAAGAAAAGAGATATGTAACATATCCCGAGATAAGCATTTACACCTAATTCTGCATATATGTTTAGCTGTACATGAAATAGCAGTGACTTATAGGAGGAAGCATTTAAAGAAGTATATATTTCTGAATGTGGATGACACTCTCTGAACCTTTGCCATATACCCCTAAGGTTAAAATTACATTCAATGTTATTTGCTATGTATAACAAATGTTTCTCCACAAACACTGCCAGGACTATCTGTACATAAGATCAAGCCTTGACACTGCATTTTCACGACTGGTGTGATTGACACCAAGCATGTTCATCCCCACCTCTCCTCTCTAGCACAATCAAAGGGGTTGGAACAGAGAATCATATAAACTTGCTTAGACCCTATCATACTTCTTTCCTCTAGTCCATGTGAGCTCCACATTTCATTAGGCTATTTCAGCTCCTCCAAAAGTAAAAATCCACCTTTCCAATCGTTCCCAGTTTGAAACAGCTGCTGTGCCTCCCAACACAGTTCTTCCTGAAGCTGGTGACTCTCTCTAATAACAACAAGTGAAAATCTGCTCCAAACTCATTTTATGTCTTTCTGGCAAAAGGCTTTTCCTATAGAAATATAAGGAAAGAGAATAGGAAAGGATATGTCCAGCTGTGACAAAAGCAGAAACAAACCATTCGTTAAACTTGTCCACAGTCTTCAGATACATGTTGTTAGAAAGCCACATGTTCTCATCCACTAGGTCAAGAGCAGCATGGGCAATGAACTGGTTGAGATGACGATGATCATCCTAATGTATTCCCAGAAGACAGAGGATTAGTAATTCAGTGAAAAGAGTGAAATATAAACAATAATTTGCTCAAGTTGCTAAACAACCAGTGCTCAAGTTACATAAAGATACATATACCCTGCTTTTCTGCCACGTGTGCCATCCTGTAATTAAGTTGTCATGATTCAAGGAAGAAAAAAGGTCATCATAATATCGCAAAAACATTGGTCATCACAAAACCAGTCTTGAGAGCAGCAGAACCAATAAAGCCTATATTTATCGCTCAGGAATGAATTCAAACATGAATTCTTTTGTTTAATGGGTAAACTCCCACTGCTAACTCATTCCACAAAAGAGGCCCTGGTATGTATTTTTCTCTTCCTTCAAGACACCTATTTTTGCGACATTTACACCAATGTAGCAGTTTTTGGACTGTAATGTTTCTGTCAAATTTGGCAGAAATCGAACAATAGATTACAGTGTGTAAAATCAGGGGGACAGATGGGGAAAGCAGAGATGTACAGAGGACAGGTGTACTGACAACATCACCTAAAGATTCTGTTCTTTTCATGTTACTTACTTAGAAACAGGATTGTTTTAGTGTTTTGTAGGTCTTCTTTTTCCTAAAACCTAGTGCAGAAAAACATCCTGCAACTAGTATTAAATATGTGCTTACAGAAGTAAATTGCATCTCTTCCTATAATAAACATCAGTGGCCCTCATGAGAGTGATCAGTGTTTGGCCCTATCATTAAAGAGCTGTGTAGGCAAAGACCTAGAACACCAGAAGACATCTGCCAAGAAGAGATACAGAACAAAATGATACTGCAAGTTTTCATTAGACTGAAAAAATAAGTAGTCTTGCACTGTTTCTCATAATACAGGGATGCTGTTACTGCCATCGTCACCTCAGTTTTTCCCACAAATCAGGTATGGCTCAGTCCATTAACAGCTTTGCAAGTTCCATTAAGCCATACTGAGGAAGAGACTAGGTAGCAAAGTTAAAGGGGCAAAAGCTTCTGCTGATTTACCACGTACATTATGCAAACCTCTTGCCTTAGGGGGCTGTGCAGTGCCACTGAATTCACTGCAGTGGCATGTCTCAGAAACAGGCATAATAGTTGCCAAAACATATCAATGTCTACTCATTCTCCTTCAGTGCACATCAAGTTTAGATTCTTAGGACCAAAATTAGTACTCCAAGCTCAGTCAGACAAGAAGCTTACCTGAGCCAAGTTATTTCCATTAGCAGAGTGCAGAAAATGAATTTTTCCACAATCTGACACACCCTCCCACTAAGTCTAGTCTGAGTAGCCTTATTTATGATCTTTTATGGGACACTAGCTCAAAATACAGATGATGCCATGCAGTTCAAATCAGTGACAGTACACACTTCCACTTTTGGATACGCTCACAGATTCACATACTTTTATTCTGAAGTCTGTTTTGCTTTCATGTAATATCACTATGCATAGATTTGTTCTTTTCCCATTGGAAACACTACTGATTGAGTAGTCTTACATTTCTGATGTTTTCAAAGTCTTTATTTATCAATACAAGTTTTAAGCTTTTCTTACTTAAAAGCAAGTATGACTAGTGAAGATGGTTAAAAAATATTTTATAGCTTAAAAAATTTATGTTCCTTACTTTACCTTATTACTGTATACAAATACCTTAAAATTAAGTAGCATTAAATAATGAACAGCTATTATAAAACCTCTACACACTAAGAAAAATTACCAAAGCACAACTAGGATATATATTCTATAACATATAGCAGCAAATATTTAAGGAAGATGTGTTTTATGAAGAACTAGTATGATCTGACAAGGATTTTTAAGAGACTTGAGAACTCCAGAGTTCTATTCCCTATGACAAAGTTTCTGGTTAAAAAAACCAACCAACCAAACAGAAAACAGTAGATACTACTTCTAATAACATGCCAGTTGTGTTTCTAATACACTGTAAAACTATACAATTAAATGCACTGTAAGTACATCATAGGAATGTCACAGGGGAAAAAACATACCTTAGACTCTACTTTTCCAGGAGGCAGAAATTCCATTTCAAATATGGGATTATCATGATGACCAACTATCACGAAGTAGAAACTTCCAGACATTCTTCAAAATAGCGCTCCTTACCAAAAAAAAAAAAAACCAGACATGCTGAGGACTCTATATATTAGGCCGTGTAGAAGTGATCCTAAAAATTAGCCAACATGCTTCCTGTTCATATTTACCAGAGGCTGAAGAGAGATAAACACTTAGGTATGCATATCAAGAGGACGGACCCAGTAGTGCCAACTACCAGGACATGAGGGAACAGTCAGAAGCTGATGCACAGGAAGTTCCACCTGAACACCAGGAAGAACTTCTTTACTGCTTGGGTGACCGTGCACTGAACAGATTGCCCAGAGAGGTTGTGGAGTCTTCCTCACTGGAGATATTCAAGAATACTATGGATGCAAACCTGTGCCACATGCTCTGGGATGACCCCGCCTGATCAGGGAGATTGGACCAGATGATCCACTGTGGTCCCTTCCGACCTTCCCCGTTCTGTGATTCTGGGGGGAGGGGGGAAAATATCCTTAGAGCGCTAAACATCTCCTGGAAGCGAACCTATTTGCTGGTACCTACAAACGCCTCCTGCACCGCTCACTGATGATTTACCCCCTGACAGCCCCCTCAGCCCCCTGGACGCGGCGATCCCACGCAGTAACGCGGGGCACCGCCTCCGAGGAGCCTCCTCGCCTGTCTCTCCCCGGACCCTGCTCACAGGCAGCAGGAAGGGGAAGGGTCGCCGTCCTCCCTCGCACACAGCGGCCGTGGGGCGGTCCCGCGGCACCCCCCGGGCACTCCGCAGTTTACGGGAGGGATGAGCGTCCCGCCGCCCCAGGGAAGGACCGCAGGGTCGCTCCCGGCCCCGCCGCTCACCCTCGCCGCGACGATCCGCCCCCGCTGCGCGGCCGCCCGGAAGCCCGCGCTCCGCCCGCCCCATCCGGCGCCTCCGTGACGGCACCGCGGCCGCGGGGCCGCCCCGCCACCGGCGCCACAGCCGGCCCGTACGGGACACAGCGGTGTGCTCCCCGCCCGCTCCCCGGCCCCGCTCCCTGCGGGTAGGGGGAGGCTGCCCGGGAAAGCCCGAGGGGGAGGCTGGGGCGGCGCTCGGCGTTTCGCTGGCCGTGGGTCGAGCTGGGAGTCAATGCCCCTTTTTCTCCCCCCCCGTGTTGTAGGGCAGGATGGCTTCGGTTGAAAGGGAGGCGCTGTCCCAAGAGGAGCTCCGGAAAAGACTGTATCAGACTTTTAAGAGCCGAGGCGTGCTGGACACACTTAAGGTGTGCTTTGTGTGCTACCTGTGATCCGCTGTACTGCTTAACACTGAGAGCAGTGAAAGCCACGCCGAATACAAATGTCTCACTCTCTCCACTGACGTATTATTTTTTGTGTCGCGGTTGCATACCTGCTTTTGAAAGCTTAAAACTCTGTTTCTGTCGTGATCTTTTAGTATGCTATAAACAATTTGTATAACTATATAATGAAAATTATTATTTTCTCCTTTTACAGGAGGGAGATTTTCTGATTTTAGGTTACTTTTTTCTCTGTTTTAACTCAGAGAATGCAAATATGTAAGGAAAAAAATGCCATTTAATTATTATTAGTGCCTCTAAGCTTGTTTGATTAGTACCCTTTTGCTTTCCTACAAAATAATTGATATTAAAGATATTGAATTTTCTGTTTATTTTCTCATCTCTGTTTGTACTGGCATCAGCAGCTTCTTGATATGAGACTCTAAAGGGGACTAGTAAGGGTTCCAGGTACACCTGCAATTGAGGCCACATCAGGCAGGCTTTAAACCAGAGGGAAGGAAAACAGCAAAGCAGTGATTGAGAAATTAAGCTGGAGGGTAGGAAAGTGGTGTTTGTGTGAGCTCTTGACTGAGAACAGTACTTCTTTTCAGTCCTCCATAGATCTTGAGGGAAAGTTAGGGATCACTGTATCCACAGTTAAGAGTGTTTTGAAGAAAGGCATGGTGTCCCAAGTGCACTTCCAGATTTTGCCAAAATTACTCTACCCTGTTCTGTTATGTAGGTTGTACAGGTAAAATGAAACTCACGCTGGATTTTGAAAAATTAAAACTCTCATTGAGTAACATGTAAACTGAGAATACAGTGTTTTTTCTGTATCAGACGCAGCTCCGAAACCAGCTCATCCATGAACTGATGCACCCAATTTTGAGCGGAGAACTTCAGCCACAGACGGTTCCAAGCGATGACAGTTCACTTTTGATCACAGCTTCCAACAGTCTGGTGGCAGATCATCTACAGAGATGTGGCTACGAGTATTCGCTTTCAGTTTTCTTTCCAGAAAGTGGATTGGAGAAGAAGAAGGTAAGTTCAGTAATTCGCCTCTTCCATGATGTCTAAGCTTTACTTCCTGGGGGTTGTCATATTCCAACAACGGAAAAAAATTTTGTGATAGGGAAGTACAAACACAAGTACAGCTTCTGATGATCTCCATAAAACATTTCATTATTCAGGGCCATCTTCATGAATACTTTAAACTGGCAATAAGGTAACGATGCTGTTCTGGAAAGATGTAGCCACAGTCTGGCTGTGTGGCAGAGTGTTTGGGGAACTGATCCTGGTAAAAGCTTGTTTGGCCATTCAATGCCCTGAAAGTGTGGTTCCTGGTCAGTTAAAGCTGTTGTAACTACAAAGTGTGGCTGAAAAGGGCAGTCCTTGCCTTTTCTTTGTTTCTTCTCTGTAAGTCTGTGTTAGGGTAAAGTTGTTTCTAACTGAAAATTAATTTCTTGACCTGGTGAATAGTTAGTTGTCATTTAGGTCAGTGAGCTCATCTGACTTGTATGATAAATGAAGAAAAGAGGCAAGGAAAGTAGCAAGGGCATGTATCTAGGGTGGGGAGGAAACAAAACTATCTCTTTTCAGAGCTTCAGCTATCATAAAGCTACCTGCTGGCTGCTGTATGTCTTAAGTAAGGGAGATACGTAAATGTAGTACTAGAACAGCAGCCTCTGCATGATTTTACAACACAATAAATAGATCTTACAATGGAAAACATTGCACAACTGTAAAATAGGGTCTCTTACATATTTGAAATTATTTTCAATCAGTTAACCTTTTCTCACTGATCTTTCTTTTCCACAAAGCTGTGGACTATGCAAGACCTTCTTCACTTAATGAGGATCAGTCCAAAGTCCAGTCTTTACAAATCACTGGTAAAGTTATTTTGATTTTGAAAATAAACTTAAATTACAGCGGTGATGAAAATAGACTGGCTAAAACTTCTTTTCTTTCTTACAGACTTCAGGAACCCAGAAGGAAAATAAAGGTACAAGATGTTTGTATATGATGCAGACAAGGATAATTGTGTTAGCTTCATTTTTGTTAAGATTTGAGCAATAAAAATTCAGATTTCTTGAGTGCATGTTGGTATGGAATAATATGGATTCAGCTGGATTTTGAAGCTTGCAGTACACTAGGGTGATGAATGTTATATTTCAGGATTATCTGACTCCTGTTTGTTGTGTGGATTAGGTGTTAACATTCACTTATGAAATAAATGACTTGAACATTAGAAACATGAGAAGAATCTGTAATCAGGTATTAAATATAATGCTCTTTGGAAGCTTTTCACACTCCTTTTGGCAAACTCAGATTTTGGGTTGTGTTTATAATACTGTATTAGTTTGCAGAATGTACTTCAAAACTAGTTACAGGTTTAATTTACTTTCCATTGTTTTGAAAAAGAAATAATTCTTATGTCTTCATGATGAAACCTAGCTATACTGTATAACCTAAAGTAGCTTTATAATTAAGTAGTAATAATTTTCACTCTCAACTGACCTTGGGAGTGAAAGAGACAGAGACATGGATGGGAGGAAAAGGACAGCTTTTGCTGAATGAGGTGGACTGGATCATGCTTATAATAAAACCACAATAGTTTACTTAAATACTTGTTCTTTCTATAAATCAAGTAGGTTTTCTTGTAAATTGAAAATTACTTTGTTAATTACAGGCTCAAATTCAGTTTTGTTATGAAATGAGAAATAATTGATCTATTGGATCTTGCCAGGTTTTCTTATGCAGATTTTAATCGGACTTACAGAGCATCATCTAAATAAGGAAACTCATAACACAGAAACTCAGACAACCTCAGTGCCTCCTTATAGAGAATCTCTTGGTAAGTGCAGCCTGTGCAAGCAAGTCTCCCCAAATACTTTCATATTGGTAAATGGTATGGATTTATGTATTGTATGAATGGTATACTTTCATTACTTATTCAAAAGTAGCCTAAAGTAATAATAAGTGAAGATCATGTCTATCACTAGTACATGGAATTTCTAAATTTTCTTTTGAAAGGCAAGAGTCTTTTTAAGTTTTGAGGTTTTTTTCGCTCAGGTGTTTTCTTGGACATTTAGTTATGACAGATGGACTGTAAATGTTATGTGTTGAAACGTTCTAGAAAACGTAATTGTAAATGCGTGCCTTACTTCTCCTTCTGTGAGTGTTTCAGTGCAAGTTACACATAGATTGGGAGTTCTTGAATTATAATATGAATGCTGTTGTTAGTATATTATTACAAAAAAGCTAAAAATTCTAGTCCACCCATGGAAAACAGGATGAATGACTATGTAATACCACAAATAGTGCCTAAACAGCTAAGTGCCTCCTCCTAGATATGTGTTGTGTGGCATAAAGCAGATCAATGGCATTCTGCCTCTGCTTTTGTAGCACACAAGTGTTTCTAGGATAGCACTACTTAGATAAGCTGAGGAACATCCTGCAGAGAGACAGGTTTCTACAGTTTTTGGTAAGATAACTGTGGTGACTTTTTTTTAATTATGGTGGATATGTTGCCTTTTTTATAGCTGAGAAGCTTCAGCTGATTGATGAGCAGTTTGCAGACTCTTATCCCCAGCATCAGAAGTACGAATCTTTAGAAGTAAAACTTCATGAATATAGAAAAGAAATAGAGAAGCAGCTTCAAGCAGAAATGCATCAAAAGGTATAACTCTGGTCAATGAATTTGAGGGAGACATTTGTTAATTTTGACTTTGCACATTGCAAACGTTTAATACTTAAAGTAAACTGAAATTAAAGATCTAAGAGTTACAGCAAGCACAAAAGGTTAAGTTAATCAAATATCAATTGTTAATTTGATGATATAACATATATTTGCAATCCCCCTTTTTTGTTATATGTGCACAGAATGTTAAGCTTTTTATTCTGATGTTGATTTGTAACAAAACATTTACTTGCTCTGGTTGTTATAATTTGGTAAATTTTATTTGCTCTTTGATTATTTTGTTTTATGGAGAAATGTTTACTCTACTTAGTCATGTTAATTATTTTCCTTACCAGTTATGATTTTAAAGCTTGAATTTCAATGTAATGCATAGCAACTGAGAACTGTGGTTTGCTGCTCTGTAGCGTGGCAGATAGCTACTGTTTAGTACTGGTGAGAATTGGCATAGTATTTTAAAGCATTGCACAGAAACACTAAAGTCATAACAGACAGTATTATTAATTATTTCTGTGGGGTTTTTTCTTCCTCTAATTGAAGACAACTCTTTTAGAGAGTTTTCCTTCATTTTGGGAATAAAATTAGAATTTTGTCATGTAATCCTTCGATGATGCCTGTGTCTGAAAAATGTAGCAGAAAGAATATACTGCAATTCATTTAAATGCATCTTTTTCTTTTCCATAAATTTCTGTCAAAATCAACTGTTTATTTAGATAGAAAAGATTAACTGTAGTTCATTTAAATGATTTTTTTCATTAGTTTCTGTCAAGATCAGTCGTTTATTGGGATATAAAAATATAATCTAATAATCAGAATTCTTAGACACACTTTTAAAGGCACTCAACTGCATATAAGCTGTTTGAGGAAATCAATGTAGTCATATTTATGACACCTAGACAAGTAGAAGAATGCAGAATTAAAACTGCCAATGTATTTTACCTTCATTTTTCATTTAGTCTTTATTCCCTAACTGTCTCTGTCTGTGTCAAATTATCATGTGAAACATGATAATTTGTGTATTGTTCAGTTTGTATCAGTTTAAGCAAACCAGTTGTAAGAAAGGAGATTGAAATCTTAACCAGGTATAAATCTCTTCTAAATTCAATTGACTTGACTTGAATTCCTTAACAATGTGAGGTGAATTACTGTGAGACATCTCTAATTGACTTTGTCTGTATACAAGTGGTGCTGTACTGTCTCACTGTTTCTTAATTTTTCATAAAATTTATGCCCACAGACCCGAATTCCTAGATTAGACATTGCTTTTTCCCCTCTTTAATCTTTCCAGTCTCACATTTTTTCTGTCATTCTCTTTGTATTCTTTTGCTCGTTTTTTCCGTACATTTTCTTGTCTTGTATGCTTGCTTTCCCTTGTCATCCAAATTTTTATTGTAATTCTTTATAATCCCATTTGTTCTTGCATACATTGTATTTCACACACTGTATCGAGTCATGTTCCCTACAATTCTTCTGTGCAGTTGCAATATTCATACCTTCCTGTTTGTGTGCATTTACTTTTATTTTCAATTGTGCTTATAAGTCAGTGAATCAGGACTGTAACCTGATTGTGGAATCCCTCTTTATGTGGAGTCACATGTTCTGCATTTTTTATGCCATCCAGATGAATTTCTGTGGTTGCTGAGCAATGCAGGATCTGTCTGCTTCTACCATTTCTTGAATCACTAGTCAAAAGTGGTTCTTTGGGAAAGGAGCAAAAATAGAGACAGTGTCAGAAGAGGAATTACAGAGTGTGACCTTTCCTTAATTCCAAGCAGAATATCATATCCGCAGTGTGTTTTTCTTCATAGGTTTCTATTTTGCTCTTGTCTAAAGCTAATAGTTTTGTGTAAGATCTGCTTTGGGATGCTTAATGAACACAAGAAAACTATGTGAGATGTGCAGGTAACATGTCCTGCTAAGATACTTTTATCACAGTAATTAATTTTTATCAAATTATCATTTCCTAACTAGATTTTCTAGGTGAAATTTAGAATTGTTTTAGAGAGGATTGTCTTTGTCAATTCTAAAATGGCCCTGCTTAGCCCTCTCTTCCTCCTTTATGTAAAAGCTGGAACACTTTAAAGAAGTTGAAATAGCAAAAATTAAAATGGAGGAGAAAGTGCAGACCCAGAAAGAAATCTCTGAGCTGCGTCACGAGTTAGAGAAGACACATCAAGCAAAGTCTGAAGCCTTGATTTCTCGTGAAAAGAATGCTATTGAGAGGCTTCAAAAGCAACAAGAGGTAAAGTTCCAAGTATTTTTTTCTTAATCTATTAAAAATGATTCAGTGAATTAGTGAAACTAATTAGTGAAACTGATTTGTCTTTGGGAGACTTACCTTCAGATCTTACTTGGCTTATTAGGGAAAACTTTGAATTTACTTTTGTTCTCATAAATAGTAGAATTAATTTAGCAACTGCAAGAATGAATGTGGTTAAATACTGAAGTAGAGGTGGCTAGAAAAGGAAAAGTTCTGGAAGCTGGGATTGAAGGATCTAAATGTAATAAAGACTTTAAAGTCTGTTTTAATAGTTTTACTGAATTCAGATCACTGATTTTATTTTTTTTTCATGGAAAGCTGAACATAGTTTTTAGTTAAAATCTAAGTTCTTTTAACTGCTGAGAAGGACTTAAACCTAAAGGGAATACATAGCCTGTAGGGTACAGGTAGACCGTTTCTGTTTGTCTTTATATGTTGAATGTTTTGAATAGCCACTGTCTTTACTGTAAGCTGGCACCTCCGTTTGTTTCTTTGAACACTTTTGTGTTGATGAGTTATCCCTTTGGGCTGTTAATTCTTGGTGTTTTGCCAGGGTAGTAACTGTTACTACAGCACACAATAATTTGTATGTAGTTCTCAACTGCTTATCTCAGTCTCTGTTAACTCAGTCTTTGAGAGAATAGTTTGTTTGCTCTCCTGTTGCCTGTTTGCCTGGCTACCCCCCTGCTGTCTGCAGTAGACCTTTGTATCCAAATAACAGTCATCCACAAATGCTAACCATATTTTGGCTTTGTTGTGGTGGTTTTATGGTTTTGCTTGTGTCTTGTTTTTTTTCCCCTGAGAACATGTGGTATTGGTTAACGAAGAAGTCATACAGGTTTCTGAATAAATTTTTGTATTATTATATTATTAAACAATTTGTCACTATGCCATGAATTTATTTCATGGTTATGTCCTTAGAAGCTTACAAGAAAACCATCTATTTTATGCTATCAGTCTTCTTTTGTGGGTGTGAAATTAATTCAATAATTAAAAAAACCCACAACAAATTACTAGATCAACATAGCTGTCAAGTATTATGTATGAATATTTAATTTCTCTTGTCAGCTTCTGAACTCACTGAGAACTGTATGTTTCATATACATAAGGATTTTTTTAGCAGAATCCAGGTATATTTACATTAAAGATGTCAGATCACTTAAGCCTTCACTGTGATAACTTGGAAATGTGGCTTGAGAAACTGCTCTCTTTTTTGTGCCAGGAGCAGCAGCTGAATCTTTCAGCACTGTCAAATGCACACAGCTTTCAAACTTGATATAAGCATCTGTATGGCAAAATCATAATTTTCTTCTTAGACATTTATTACTTCTTTGGAGAGAAATAATGTCTTTTGTGCTTACAGATGAGAAAAGCCATTTTTATTAATAGGAAGATAGGTGAATTTTGGTATTAACATGTTCATCACTTACAGAATCCCTTTTACAATTTGTTTGAGTTCTATAAGTTAAACTGCAAAAACTGAAAGGCTGTTGGTTTACTCAGTTTCAGTTTTAAATCATGTTTCATCGGGGAGTTTGGTATTTGTTTTTTCAATTTTGTCTTGTGAAAACATACAAAACTGTTTTTTTATTTTAAAAGGTCAAGTGTTTGAACATACTTATTCTGTAATTTTTCCATTTACATAAGTTTTAATCAGTGCTATTTCTTAAAGGAGAAGTGTTTACAGGTAGCCAATAGTGACTCCATTTAAAACATTTTTACTCAGAGTAAAAGTAGAAAGGGAATACAAAAAGATACATACAGTTGATTCTGGATGTTATTTCAAATTATTACTCTATAATTAATATTTATGGGAGTAAGATCAGTTCCAGAAGGAGATCCTTGTAAATTGAATGTGTTAAACAGTGAATACACGTATAAAGTGTGAAGTAAAACTAGGGATAATATTTTGTGATTCAGATAGAAGCAAAGGAAGTGTACGCTCAGAGACAAAGTCTGCTGAAAGATATCGAAGCCGTAAGAACCAGGGAGGCGGAACTGAAGGAAAGGATGGAGGCATTTGAACTGTAAGTTGCTGAAGGATGTATGTAAATGATGCTGTTGTGCTTTTTCTGAAAAGTTTGCTTCAGGATGTTTCTGCTACTATGACGTTGAAGTAGATTATATGTCCCAGCAGTTACATTTTGAGCAGTGTTGTATACTGTCTCTGTTAGCAGGATACCCCACTCAAAGGCTGGGTTTGGTTTTTTTTCTATTCCGCTTCATCCAACCAAAATGTTTCAGCATTGCTTTGGGGGCAAGGAACCAGATGTTTGCTTTGAAGTGCTTAAATTAAGAAAGAAAACAAACCCCCAAACAAAGAACACAGTATGTAACCCTAACGCTCATGAGTCACATATATGATATTTTACCTTGTTAGTCCTATGTTTTGGAGTTGGGTTTTTTTATTTGTCCTTAATAAGATCAGTTTTCTTTAGTTAAATGAAAAAAATAACTAAACCATTCTTGCTCAAATTTTCAATACTACTTAATGTTTGTGAGCAAAACGAGTATCCTGCTAACAAAAACTTGGGGTTTTTTATCAACCCAGCAGAGGGTGCTGATAGAATAGCCTGCTCATCACTCTCTCCTCTGAAGTGTTTCTGGTGTGGGAAACTGAGCCAGGGTTAACCCAGAAGAGCTGTGTAATTGATTAGTACTGGATTTTAAATAGGGCAATTTAGTTTGTGTCACATGTCCTTGTTCTTAATGAACTACAATGACAGATTCTGATGATAATTTCAACTTGCTACAGTATTCCAAGTAAACACATTACCCTTTGATGTCTATAAATGTTGTTGTAGAAAAGAAAACAAAAAGTTTTGACTTTATAACTGGTCATTATATTATATTATATTGTATTATATTGTATTATATTGTATTGTATTGTATTGTATTGTATTGTATTGTATTGTATTGTATTGTATTGTATTGTATTGTATTGTATTATATTACTGGTCTGTATATTTTTGGATATTTCAGCACTCAGAAACTTCAGGAAGAGAAAAATAAAGCTATTGATGATGCACTTCGGCGTCGAGAGGTTGCTGTGAAGAACATAGAGGAAACATATGACCAGAGGCTGAGGACAGAACTCTTAAAGTAAATTTTTCTTTTTTCTTTAGTAGAACACATGCTACTTCCTTAGAAAACAGAATATTAAATTGTATAGGATTTCTTTTGAAAAGCGTAACAGAGCAAGGACTTTGAAAATGTACACTTATGTTTTTGTTTTAGTGAGCTTGAATTCTTAACATTATTGCTTAGCTCTTTGCTAGTAAGAGAAAACGTACTGTTAGCTTCAGAAAAAGCTTGCTGTAGAAAAAAATTCTCTTTTGATTTTAGGTTATATTATTGTTGTGGTTTAAATTCTGTATTAATATCTGGAAAAGAGAGGTGATATTAGTCATACATTTAGAGAAGAGAATCTGAAGCAGTGTTAGTGACTTCCTTTGACCTTTTTATGAATGTGGAGGAGGCACAAAGGGGAAATTAACATGAAAGAGATGTGACATGTTTCTTGGAAACAGGGTGAGAGACACACTAGTCCATTGTACAGACAGGCTTGCTCTTACCTTCTTCACCCCTTCCCATTTTTGGAGAGGGATTCTCTCATATAGATCACCCTATTTTATTTGGTACCATCTGCTCGAACATAGTTTCAAAGAATTGAGGCAGAATAGCCCTATGAGGTAGTATAAATGGAGAAAATTAATTGACTGAGGAGCTGCAATTCTGAAGAGGAGATGGATGAGTTACAGTGAATGCCAGGTTGATTATGAGCCAGCAGCGTGCTCTGGCAAATCAGGCAAACAGCATGACCATCAGACTCAGGGAACTTATTGACTCCTTCAGGTATTGGGGAAGGCTGTTCTAGGAATACTATGTCCAGGTTTTGGCTCCCCAGTTCAAAAAATCATGATGAAACTGGAGGCAGCCTAGTAAAGACCAGCAGGATAGTTATTGGATTCTCAAATATGACCTCTGAGTTCATATGGCAGGGCTATAAATTGTGGCTGGGGAGATTTAACTTGGACATAGGGAAAAAATTTTTAATGGGAGAGTAGTGCAGCATTGGCACAGATCATCCAGAGAGGTGGTGGAACATACATCCTTTGAGGTTTTTCAAGACTTGGCTAGGAAGAGCCACACATGACCTGCTGTAGAGTTGGCAGTAGTCTTGCTTTTCAAGCAGGTGGTTGAATGAGGTGATTGGCAGGGCCCTTTCCAATCATTTTGGTGGCCCTGCAATAGTTAATTTTGTCAATAATACTTGTGTGATTATAGTTTAGTTTGGGAAAGACTGGAGTTTACACAAGTGCCTGGGCATGTGTGTACACACATACTGTGGGAATACATAATTCTTTTTGCTTCTAGATATCAGCTTGAATTAAAAGAAGAATACATAACCAGAACCAATAAAGTTACTGAAGATGAGAAAAAAAATAAAGGTAACCATCTGTCTGAGATTGATAAAGTACCTGTTTATCTCTAGAGCTTTTACTCGCAAATATCAAACCACTATTGTTACTGAACAGTCACAGTGTTCAGTAACAGTGGTATAAGTGACAGAAAAGCCATCACAACAGATTTTAAAAAGATGTAGCAGGATTCAGTGGCAAGTCAGCAACTCCTTGCTGTTCAGAACACAATGGGAACCATAAGCTGCCACTTTGCACAGAGGCTGCAAGGCATTCCTGGTTTTCCAGTTTCCCCTTTCCTTCTGAAGTCCTACTACCTCACACTCTTTAACTGAACTCTGGTACCGTACCCTTGAGTGGTTCCCAGTTTCTGCATTTGTTTTGCACGAGATGCTTAAGTGGAGCTTGAGGAAGAGAGCTGGAACAGATAACATGTTTAGACTTCTAGGTACCTCTGTAAGAAATGATATATCACACACATATGAATTCAATTTACTTCATTCTAGAAGTGTATATACATATGTATATATATACACACAGTGTGATTTACTTAATTTTGAAGGAATGTGTATGACATTCAGTCATTTTTATGTCTTGAATTAAATTGAATGTTGGGCTTAGCAGCTTAAAACTGTTTTTTGCTGATACAGTTTTTTACTGTAATACTCTACTAATTTTAATTCAACATTTGTAATCCTCCCTGCAGAGAAAGCCATGCTTTTGCATGAAGAAGCCATTGCTGTTAATTCGAAAAAGGAGGAACTCAAGCAAGCTGTATCACGCACGAAAGAGCTTGAGGTAATTGTAAATATGAATTTAAAGAAGCTGTATTCTGATTGGTGCAGCTAAGGTACATTAATAAAAAAGAAAATATGAACTAAAAATAATTGTTAAGTAGTACAGAAGTTCATAACCTTCTAAACTGTTTTTTATTTGCAGCTGGATTTGGAGTCAGTGAAGGCTCAGGTTCTGTTGGCAAATAAACAGAATCAGTTGTTGACAGAGAAACTGAAAGAGTTATCAGACTATCCTTTGCTAAAGGAGGAGAAATTGGAGCTCCAAGTGCAGAATAAACTACTTAGGCAACAGTTGGATGAGGCTCGCAGTGAGAACCAGCATCTCCGAGACAGTCAGTGTGAATGATTTAGTAATTCTCTTGTTTATCTTTCTCTACAATTATTTGTTTAGAAATAGATTTTCATTAAAATACTTTCTCTGTATTATGTTTACTTGTAGTTTGCATGAAACCCAAGCTAATGTTTGCATAAAATTAAACAGTCCTTGACATAAGTTTATTTTCTTTTATATGTCTGTATGGTAGAAATCTTGAATTAAGTGGTAGTTATAATATGAAGGATATTCCTTTCACCCTTTGAAAAAAGCAGTACAATATTTCTAACCATGGCATTAGTATGGTTAACCATGGTAATGGCAATATTAAGTGCTGGCCTAACTGTAGTTATAAATACCAAGTATTTTTAATGTTTGAGATTATGGGGGGGTAGAGATGTATGACTACCCCAACAAAAATTTCAGTCTTTTGTAAAAGGAAGAAAAAAAATCCCCAAGTAGTTTATTCAGGCAAAGCCTTGTTATGTTCATAAAAACAAATCAGCTTTATGTTTTCAAGGGGTATCATGTAGAAAAGTGCACACTCGTCTGAGTGTCTCGTATTTCTCTTTCTGGGTAGAGCTGTCCCAGCCCTCAGCAGAGTACCTGGCCTGCCAAGTGGAGCTGAGGAGAGTGGAGCACTCTAGGAAGCTGGTGCTGGATGAATTTGAGAGTCGTAAGCAGATTTTGGAAAAGCAGCTACAAAGTAAGGTAAATTATTGTTTCTAAATTATTTGAATCCTTTCTTCTTCCTGTCATCTTTTTCACATTCATCCATCTGCCTGTGCAGGCTCTTTGGCATGTAGTTAGAAGGATTGTTTGTACAGTGCTTATTTTTGTGTAAGCAGCTCTAAAGAAAACAAAAGACATACCACACCAAAAAACTACCAAAAAATAAAACCAACCCAACATAAACAAAGTAAATCTTTCCAAGTCAACAAGTGGTCAGTACTGACTCTCGGTAGGATATTATGTGATAATGGTTTGACTGAACCTGAAAAACATTTAGAAAGCAAGTATTCAGCCTGTTGAAATTATTCTTTTTTTTTAATTATGCTGAGTTTTGTTTTTCTGTTGATCTCCTGTAGGTTGAGCGTTGTGCCCAACTAGAGACCCAACTGTTAGAGTCCGAAGCTACTGTCAGAAAATTAAACATGCAGGTTGAAGAACTGAAACTGCAAGTGAAACAAACACAGGCAGGTTTGTATCTTAAACCACAGCAGTCCTTTAAGGACAAGTGTAAGAATTTCCAGAAGCTTAAAAAAGCTGCAGTTGCATAGAACTAATATACCACCAGGGAGCAGATTTAAAGTTTAAAATCAAAATCTATTTAAAAGCCCGGTTTAAAAAACAAACTCATTAAAACTTCCTTTCAGAAAAAAATATACAGGAGGAAGGGAAAACTTTCCTCCCTGAACAGTTGCATATTTTTATTGTCTGTTTTTCCTCAGTATGAAGGCAATAATGTTTGTTGATAACATAAACAGCATTTTCCAGCAGGTGAGTTGTGTTTTAATGCATTTTGATTCCTGAATGTTCATAATAAGAACAATCAATTTGAAATTGTATTACATACCTCAGAAATTTAAGTCGGACTCATTAACAGAATTTGTCAAGGCTAATAACTTTTGCCTAACTTATCTTGTATGGGCATTAGAAACAGAGGCACTTGCATAAAGCAATTCAGTCTGCTGAAGAAATGTAGTTCTAAAGATGCCTTTGTCAAATTACTAATATCAAGTATCGTAAGTAAAAGTTTTGGGATGTATATTTAATGTAAAAATATGGAATTGAATTCTCCAATGATTATACATTATATATAATGTGCTTCATCATAGTTCAGTATATGCAATATTTTATATTATTCACTAACTCAATATGCACATTTTCATTTATGGTACAAGTATCAGTACCATTTGGAATTGGAAATTTATTTGTGTCAAAATAGCAAATATATGTTTTAATTAAATGACTGTAAGTACTCCAGGGACTTATTTACATCAGAGTTAATGAAGTCATTGAAGAACCATTTATGTACAATAAAAATCAAGGTTGTAATTTTGCTGAGAAAGAAACAGCCCTATAGATTGGTCTTTTGGACCTGTTGAAGCATGCAAGTGCAAACCAGGAAGCAGACAGCACCAAAACATGCAATTTAACTGACAATTTTTAAGTACTTTAAGAAAAACAAGCCTATAATATTTTCTGTATGCTATGTTGTTTTTCTCCAAAATTCTTTTTTGCTCTAAATAGAAGGAAACTGTTAAGACTTGTGACATACCTTGTGTTCTTCAGCCTTTAACAACATGATTAGATATCAGGTATCCAAAGTGGTGATGTTTTCATGTTTATTTCTTTATTTAAACATAATTTAAATAATAACATTGTAGAGTATGTATTTAAGGTAGTTTTACATGGAAGGATTATATAATAAAAAATAGTAGCGTTAATTTGCAGCTTTGTAGCCACATTAAAAATACATTTAATCAACCCATTGAATTCTCAAAATACGAACCAATTCCATGTTAAAATAATTTTGATCAAAATGGAATTTAAATGCCACGTTTTACTGTTTCTGTTTTGTTATGGGTCTCCCTTTCTCTCTTTAGTGTCACTCACTTTCTCTTGCTATAATTTAGCTCTGGAAAACGAAGTGTATCGGAACCCAAAACCTTCGCTTGTCGATCGCTCTGTCCTCGACTTCACCAGTGACAGAGCTGTACCCCATGATATTTACGTGGATAGTGCGTTCCTGAAGAATCGTGTTATGACGGATGTGATGCAGGTAAATGCTGTGCCAAGAGACAGCCAGCAGTTACAGCCACGCAGTGCTTCCCCGGATTCTGACCTGGAGTACATCGCGCAGACCTGGGCTAGAGTAAAAGAGCTATCAAAAGAGGCAGAGTACTTGGAAGAAGCTTACAGGAATTACCAACACAGAGTCATACAGAATGCAGCTGCAAGCAGAACACCGAGAAAGATGGAGTCTCCTTTAATTCTACAGCATGCTCTTAGTGGACCCTCTTTTACTACCCAGCATGAACTTGTAGAGGATAATCCCAGCTTCCCACATTCCCTTCTGAGCAGCCCAAGAGGCGAAGAACACATCAAAAGAACTGGGCAGGCTGATATCTTTAAAAATCCCTTAACACCACCACAGAGAGGAGCATCATCGTCAAGACGCCTTTCTTCTACTCCCATTTCCAAATCCATGAGAGATCTCAGTAACAAGAAAATTCCAGATGGTAAGTCATGATTGTTAATGTGGTGCAGTAGTGGAGTTTTATTTACTGTTCCTCTTGCTCTATGGGAAGAGAAAGATTTTGCAGTGTTAGTCTTTCCCTTGTTTATTATTTGCGAAGATGCAGAAGTCGGGAGTTGTGGTTTTGCAAGAGACAAAATACACTAGCTGCTTGGAGTACTACTTATTCCTGGAAACAGGTACTGGAGAAATATGTTGAGGGAAGTTAAACATGTCTTAAGTAGCTCTCAAGAGAAGACTATGCCATATAATGCACTACAGGTGTAACCTTATGATATGCAGAGTTTCATTCAACGGTTGCTATGAAGTATAACTACTTTGCAACATTAATTGTATCCCTTTTTTATTTCTAACTTTTCATTTAACTGTTCTGGTTAACGTGTGCAGCAGAAGACTGCTTTGGCTTCTTTTAAATTGAGCTTTGCAGTCTGAAAAGTCCAGATTTGCTTTTGTTTTTTGTTTTTACTGTGACATCTTTATCAAATATTCCTGAGCAATTGTAAGGGGGAAGGGTTTAGTCATGGTTGAAAAATTTTAATTTTCTATTAATTTCACAGTGTCTAATAATTACTTAGTCTCTTTTTTCCTTTTTTTTTAAGACCATATACAGAAAAGCAAGCAAAATAGAGAAGAAATTTAATTTTTTTAGAAAATTATGTTGTTTCAAATCTGCAGTATTTCTACTCCTTGAGTGATGCAATTCTTGTCACCCTAGCTCAAAGTGGATTTAATAGGATGAAAAAAAGAGGTAGTAACAAAAAAAAAAAGGATAACGATCAGCTTCTCCATAAAGGAAGGTTAAATACAAGGGCAGCTTCATTTAGAAGAGAGTTGGCTGAGGTAGACTGTGGGAAATCTGGAAAACAATGAGTGATGTGGAAAAGGTGAAAAGGGATCGATTAATTACTGCTTCACAGACCCCAGAATCCCATGACATTGAAAGGAAAGAATGAAGTGCTTTTTCATTCCGTAAGTTGTGTAATTTATTGCTCTTGTGGCAACAACTGCAGATGCAGAAACAAAACTTCTCTGTCAGGAGGATCCAAAAAAGTCTCAATTGAGGAAAGTTTGGGTGGGTATTATCCTTTCCAATTTTAGTTTAGTTTGTTATTAACAGGCACTGTTAAAAACAGGTTACAAACACTGATTGATTGTGGCTGTCCCTGTGTTTCTGCATGTAGAGTATCATGCTCTGTTACTGAAAACGTATTTGAAACTTTAACTTCCAAAGCAGTCTTTCATGTTTTAAGTTCTCTCTGTCAACTTCTATATAAAATATCCTCAGACTACTTGTTTAATACTACACACACACAAAGTCGTTCATAACACGAGGGTTTTGTTGAAAAATTAGGAAATGTTAAAGCTAGTTGTGTGCATAACCTTAGCAATCCTTCCTGTCTTTGTACTTTTTCATGGCTAGTTACAGGATGGCAGATCTCTTTTTTCCCAGTGGATCAGTTCTTTTATTAATGCACAAGACTGACTGGCTCTGGAGAGGGATAAGAGTGCATTACCTGATTTAGGAGTTACAGAAATTGAGTGATATGTAGTGTAGGAAACCAGGCTGCAGCTGGTATGTGCCCCAGTAAGCACAGGAGCTTCAGTGGTAGTGCACTGTTAGCATGATTTGTCTGCTTCCAGTTAGATTGCTTCCCCACAGGTATGTCACCTCTCTTTCAAGAGTCTTCTGAGTGCTTTTATACTGGTATATATGTTATCTTTTTATGCTAGAGATGGCTGAAACACCAGATGTGGTTTTGCTAGAAAACTGTAAGTCATTCTGGACACCTTCTGTGGAGCTTTGCAGTGCTGTTGAAAATAACCAGTCTGAACAACTGAGGGTAAATTTAAAGAGGTAATAAAAGATACCATGCATGTGAGTCTGAGATTTGTTTTTGCTTTAAGTGAGGTTAAGTGCAGCTCAGCTGTCAGCACCTATCTTTGGAGAATAAAAGCAAGAAGCATGTCCTCCTCTACAATACTTGCAGTTGGCAGATCTAACAGTTGTTTTACTAAATTAACTGCCAGTGGAAGGATTATGCGGTTTTTTTCTCTTCCTTTAAATTAGCTCATGCATTTGACTGTTTTCCTTCCCAAGCCCACATTGGACATATTTCAACTTTGACTTTCTGCTGGGAAGGAGTAAGCCCATTTCTTTAAAAGCAACTAGAAGTAGGGCAGGATCCTTTTCTACTTTCTCATGCTTACTGTCTCTAGCAGGCAGTAACATGGACCAGGAAACAGTTACTGAGAAGGAAGTTTGGATTTCCAACTGACCCATGCTTCCTATTACGTGATCAGTGCTTTTCACCTTGATTGTTACTTGACCAAGCTTTATACCTTCTGATGAAAAAGGGCAAGGTTGATGAGTCTTGCAGACAGCATGCTGTGAGCCAAAGATCTCAGCTATTTGTCTTTTAGTAGAAAATCAGTAAAGTCAATCCTAGATAATTTCTAAATAGTAGTAGGTTGTAGTAAGTTACTGTATGAGGTGACTTGTGTGTCACCTGTGTCTCAACATACAGGATGTATTATGGCAGGGAGGTGCATGTGGTAAGTACTATGTGCTGTTCTTGTCCATTTGTTCTGCATGTGAAAATTTGACAAGTTATTTTATAAAGAAGATTGGACGTGGGTGAGCTGAGGGGTTCCCACCACAAACAGGTACTGCCAGTACATGAGTACAATGTGTCTGCTATTAGTGTCATTCTATTAGTGTGCATCTTCCTTAGAGGGTGTTCAACTGTGTTGTGTGGGCCTAGGGGCTGCCTGGAGATAAAAATCCATGGGCAACTGTTTGTCTGAAGCATCTTGACTTTTGCAATGTGATGTGCACCATGAACAGGTAGCACTTCTGTATGACCATCTGAAAGAACTTCAGGTGTGGAAGTGTTAATAGTGGCTTTTTATCTATCCCTTGAACAAAATAAACACTGACTCTTTGATCAATAAAAGAGAAGAAAAACAACAGTTCCTGCTTATTTAGTGAATACCATATCTTGTGGGAAAATTAGTAGATTGTAGTTTAGTAATGAAAGACCTGTGCAACTACACAGGAAAGGAAAATTAGAATTGCAAAGCAAAACTTAACTGAAGTGCTGGGCTTCACAAGTTTTATTAAAAGCCTTCTTAATGCAGTTTTGTTTTTTACCTTGGTTTCTTAGAAAACTCAAGGCTTCTAGTCATACTATGTTTCTTTCTGCAATAACTTCACAGCTGTTGATAAAAGGATAGAATCTTAAAGTATTTTCTTCTTTTCTTTGTTGCCCACTTTCACCAATCTGTAGAAAGTGAAACCTGTAGGTTAAATTTGATAATGAAGAATAGCCTTTGGGAGACCTCAAGCATTGTCTTTTGCTGGTTAGTAAGCACAGCTTGAAATCCAGGTCTGTGAGTGCTTCCTCGAGTGCCCAGCATAGGAGAAGTTATTTGCTGTTGGGCTTCAGTTTGTGGTGAACATGGTCATACTATGGGGTGATGAGAATGATCGACTTTGTGAGGAGTAACAATATGATGATGGAGAAGGGTTGTGGAGGAGAATTCCCACACAGGAGAGGTAAAGGAAGAAGAGAAATAACCAGTACAAGAAAGTTCATGTTAAGATCTGATTGTTAGTTGCCCTTGAGTAGTCGTACCTGCGCAATTCAGTAATGCATGTGTTGTACAATCAGCCTTGTCTGAGAAGCGGTAGGACAAATAACTAATATAAATTGTGGGATTTTTATTCTGCAGACATCAAGAGCTCATCCCTTACCTCTTCACAGCGGAGTGTTGACCAAGTGCTTTCTCCTATTTCAAAGCCATATCTGCTTTCATCTTCTGAGTCTGTTCCTTCCTCACCATCCAGTCATGCCCAGAAAATCAGGTAACATTGTTTACAAAGCAACATTTTTAACCTGCTATTTAAAGAAGTGTTTATCTAATTGTTCACAGTGATAGCTGCTTTTACAAATCAAGCAAACCATTAATTTTATAAGTGAAAACTTTTTTAAAGGTGGATAAGGATTTCCATTTTTGAATATCATACCTCAAGAGGAACTTAGTTATAAAAAAACAAGCTTTGGTTTGCTTTGAGCAAAGCAATATCTCTTTAATTGTGTCTATTTTTTGCGTCTGTGACCTGACTGATGAGCTTTTGCTGATTGAAGCATTTGAATTTGTGCTGCCTGTTTGGGAATTTAAATGAAGGCAATTGTACATTCTCATTTCATTCATTAATGAGCTGTAATGCTAACTTTATTAATTTTTTTTCTCTCTGAAGACCTTGTTCATGTGCCTGTTTTCAAAATAGGATCCTCCAGTCTCCTTTGCATGTGGGAATGGGATGGGTAGCACAACTTTTCTCTTTTTCTTTGTTGTTTTTTTTTTTTTTTTAAATCTTATTTAGGTAAATAAATAACTTGACAAAATTAAAGATTTGCATAAAAATGACTTGTCTTTCTTCTGTGTTTCTCCTGTTTCCATATGTAAAGTTCTATTCTTAATGGCCACTGTTGCCTCCACTCTCCAAAACTGAGAGTCCTGAATATGTATTTTCAGAAAAAGCTTCTATTAGAAGTATTTAACTTGTAATGTTTTTTTCCTAAGAAGAGACCGTGGAATTGGCCTTAACTTGCTAGCCATCATTCCTGATTTGATGGGTGAAGAAAGACAGCTTGTCGTGGGGCAGCTGTAGGAGGCATTCGAAGGGCTTTCTTATTTTGTTGTTATCAAGGCCTCAGGATCCATTTAATGTAGAGAGGCTCTCTTATGTGGTTAGAATTTTCAGAGAGCCTGTATGTTCTTGGCCTTGAAAATGAGCTGTTGGGATTTTTAGGGACTGTGAGGTTACTTTCCTAAGTGTTCCTTTAAGGCTGTCTCTTCTTTCCCTACTCATTCACCTTTTCTATCATATGTCAGAGATTTCCTTTATTTCTGTGACAGACCTTAAAAAGTGAAGGTTGAATGTTAACCTGCTTGTGAAGGTGATATGGGAAAATGCTCTAATCCTGTGAGGGACGATGCTTTGAAGGATGTTGCAGAGTCCATCCTGCTTGAAGAGTGAACAGTATGAGCAAGTTGTTTTGCAGAGAACAGACCCAGGTCTGGGCAGGCAGCTATGGGTTGCAGTTGTTTTCTTGGGTTTCTTATGACAAAGCAAGGGTATAAGGTCCCAGTAGTTGTCTTGGACTTGATGCTTTCCCAAGACTTTCTTAAATGCAACATTCTTTTGTTGCATATTTTTTTTAATGTCTTGTGCCTTGGACTGTTTTCTGTTACGTGAAATATTTGAGAAATGCTTGTGTGGGCTTTTCCAGTTATTTACTCTCATTATTAGGCAAATACCACATTATTGATGTGTACTGTGGGATTAGTTTATGACGTGTAGATTTTAAGTGGCAATGGGAACTTCTTTGAAAAGAAAATATCCTGTAACACCAGTAAGCTGTTAGAAGTCCGACCTATGTCAGTGAGGAAGAACAATTGCTTCTGTGACCACAGAAGCTCCTTGTTTATTTACGTTCCAAGATATGAGTGGTATGAAGAAAGCCAATAAACACAGACAGGAAGACTGGAGTGATAAGGCAGATTATTGTCTAAATTTTTGTTTGTTTGTTTGTTTAGGCCTAAAGAAACTGATTGAGGGTTGTTACTGAGGCAGGGGGTTCTGTCTTTCTAGTAGTGTTGCAGGACACAGTACTGAAGAAAGTGGCATGCATGTCCTTGAAACTTGCATCCTTAAGAATTATTTAACGCTTAACCATTTTTGGGAAGGAAAGACTCAAAACATGAAATAGACTTCCAAAAACTTGAACTTCCGTTTACTCTGTCCTATTTAATTTACAGGGTGTTTTTCCCCACTGACACTAAACTATCTTTCTGACAATACAAATTTATTGGTTTGTGCCCAGATTTACATTTTTTTTAATGAACAAATCTCATTATGGGAGTATGTTTTGTTTGTTCTCCACTCTTGCCCTGTGGAAGACCTGAATTTCTTAGAAATTGTAAGCACAAATATATTTAGGCTGTGATGAAGAGCACCAGCTGGTGTGAAGTAAGCTCCTTTATGAAGCACTGCTGCTGAATTTCATTAGTGACCTGCACTCCTTTTGCCATTCTGGTTCTGGTCAGACTTTAGTGGCAGGGTCACGTGGGAGACATTGTTCTTTCATATTGTCTTTCTGATGAGATAAACGGGGATTTAGAATGAGGGCACTAACCCCATTTGTCATAGCACCCAGATTTTTTCACCCCTGTGTCTATGTTTTGCCAGACATCTAATCCTAATACATTTCAAACACATCTGTTCAGATGATACCAAAATGGGAATTAAACTGTAACACAGAGCTTAAAAAGGCAAATTTCTTAATTTCAGTTGACTAAGTGTCACAGTTCATTGTATTTCTCCTTTTTTGTTGTTTTTTCTTACTCATTTGTACTCCTTTTGATAGTGTATTTTGGTTTAATGTAATGACTTGATGTCATATAAAGGCCTTGGGGAAAGGCTGCAGGGAGATGACTATCAGAGATATGGAGTTGACTTTTGGTAAAAGTTAGAGAATGGAGTTCAATACCCTGAGTCAGAAAGTTCCAGTGTTTCAGTTGCATGGATTTTAGGTTTGGTTTAGTCTGTTGCTTAGCATGTGAGTAAATCTCAGATTGCTATTTTTTTCAAAGTTCAGCATTTATATTTATTAAGTTATTTATGTTCTTCCTTATTCTTTCAGACTTCAGAGTCAACAAACAGATAAACAAGATCTCAGTGATATCCACAAACCTAAGAAACTAACGTACGAGGACCTTGAAGAACACATTTATTCTCTTGAAGGTAAGTTTTAGTGCATTTCAGACAGTTTAACACCTTGAGGCTTAACAGCTTTAGGACAATTGTCTTCATAGTTTTAAGACCATAGTTGGAGAGAAAAATTTCTGACTGATTTTGGAAATAAGAAAAACAATTATCTCAGATGATAAAGGATTAATTTTCTTCATTTTTGCATTTTTTGATAAAGATATGTAGTAATAACTAGACACTGAAGTCGAGTTGGTTCTGAAATTTGTAACATTCTTTTTGTTCAGAAATCTTTCATAACCTTGTTCTGCTTAACGCTGTAGGTTGGACAGTTGTTTTAGAATGTTTTAAAATTGTGCAGGATTATTTTTATTTTTTTTTAAACAGAAAAGTGTACTAGTATATCAACTACATTGAGGCTTTATTATATTTACTGCATAAAGTAGAACTCCAGGGAGTGTTCACCATAGACCAATATCAAAAAAAGTATTACTAGATTGTGATTCTGAAGATAAGTTTCAGCAGCCATTGGATATGCTCTTGACTTTTCCTTCAGTAACTGAGGCTTAAAATAGTATTATGAATTAGAATTTGGTTTACACTGTGTGTAAATATGTGAAGAGCTCTCACAATTATGCTGTCATTAATCAGCATCTCTGAGTAGTTTTGGAACATGTGGTTCAGTTACTGAAACCTGAATTTTATCCTTTTTTTTCTATGAGGTCAGCATTTTATTTATTTGCATTTCTGCTCTCTGTGGATTGCATGCTATAAAATGTTTCCTTGTCTCTATATGATGTAGAGTCAGTTTTCAAAAATCTTTGATGTAACTAAGGTACTTTAGAAAGAGGAGGATAATAAAACTTAATGCACTTTATAGCCATTTGCATACGGAGAGAAACAGAAGCACAGTTACTGGCTTTATTTCCTAGTTTTTCCGCATTTGAGTGGCATCCTAATGTTTGGCCTAAGCAGCTTGATCTCCCAGAAACTGTGGGTTTAAAGTAAATGAAGTCATCAATGAGAAAGATGCAAACAGCAACCTAAATGTGTTTTCCATTTCCAGATTTTGTTAGGTCTGTGATGTCTTGAGACTGGTGGAGATGTGGCAGTGTGTGGTATGATTAAACTCATAATTGGTGAAGAGGTTGTGATTGCTCTGTGGGAGAGTTAGGGATATTTTCTTTGAAACCAGTCATTCTAACTGGTGTGTTTTCCTTCGTCCCAGACTGGTTTATTCTTTTGGTTGTGGTTAGGTCATATGGAAAGTGGAGTGATGCCCTTGCTTGCTCTCCTGGACCTGTGAGAACACGACTTTCAGTATTTTAAAATGAACCAACCAAAAAAGATAATGTTTATTTCAACAGCAAATGTGCTGATAGTGTTTAGTTAGTGATAGTGAGTAGCAGAAGCTGATGCCTCATCTGTACATTTCTCTGTGAAGCTTTACTCAGTACTCAGTTATATTTTTTTATCTCATTTAATTTCCTTTTTATAAGATTTAAGTGCATTAGTTGAATGTGAACCAAGCCCATAGCCATTAATGATTTCTACTCATCTCACATTTTAATTAGATTTAGATTTATTTGTTTAATTTTGTATGAGAGGCTTTGGGGAATACATTACATATTTCACTTCTGTTTTATTACATATGACAACAGACTGGCATTTTTTTGGCAATTAGGACTGAGTAGATGCTGTGCACAAGTCAGGTACTGCTGTATCATTTAGTGATGTGTGGTAGTCAATAGTTCTGAGAGTTCATGTATGCTGATGATTTTCAATCAACAGTACTTTAGTTGGGTCCGACTGCATCAAAAGACAGTCTCAGTATGTAGGAGGAAATCAGACTGGCTAAAGAGGGGAGGAGGTAACTCAGGAGGACTTGCAGGGAGGGGTGGGATAAGAATGTAAAATCAAAGAATTAAATACAGAAAAATATATAATGAAGGAAAAAGATGATAAGAGTATTAAAAACGATGAAGTGAAGGAGATGCCAGAAAATATGGAGGTCTTTTAACCCTACTGTGAGTGAACTCTAGCAAGAAAAGATTGGCAGATTCTGTTGGCAGAAATTGCTTGTAAATGACGTACTCATCTTAAGGGAACAGTCATTTCTCACTGTCCACCCTTACATAAGGGAGTGAAAGTGTACAAAGAAACTTACCTTTTTATTTCCTTTGCCGAAGGATAATTTAAAGATGTTTTGTACTACACTGGTTTTGATTTGGGTCTTTTTGTTTGTTTATGTGGTTAGCAGACATTTAGAAGTTAGATATAATATTTTACAGGGACTGTGAAAGGAATTTTTTGACTATTTAAATATTACATAACTTGATGCTTACTGGTGCCTTATATGGAAATACTGTTATTGATAGCTTTATAATTTAAACAGAATACATTTTCGTTTGAGTGTGATAGCCCATTATTTTGGTCTTACCAAAAAAAACAGAAAAAAAAATAGAATTTATTTTCGTGGTTGAAGCTGGTAGGACTTCATTGCTTTTGTAAGAAACTGAAAATGCTCTACTAAATTAGCTAGACTGACAGGTTGGCAGAATTTTTCTGTGATGCTTTCATCTATAGTTCCTTTAAAAGAATTTTAATTTACAGAAATTCAAACCATTCTGAGAGAGAGGCCCATCAGTTTGGTTGTCTCGTTTTTCTTTGTGCAAAATATTTCAGTTTTATTATAATGTAGAAAAGAAAAATGCTTGAGACATCGATAGTATTTCAAGGATGGAATATTGATGTTTTCTAAACTTTACCCCAAACCTATGGAGATACAGAAGGTTTCTGTGCTGTGTTATACTAAATGCTTGGGAGAATGGTCCTGTGTATTTCAGGTTGGCTACCTAGAGAAAATGGCCACATCTAACTTTTTTTTAATCTCTTTTTTTCTTTCTCCCATAAAATTGAGATAGTAGCAGTCTGCATGTTTTGCAATTAAGTAAGAAGCAGTTGAGTATCATAGCAATGATCACAGTGAAAGGACAGTAATTGTGGTTTTGTGAATTCAGAGCCACTTTGCACAGGGAGAAGACAGTATGATGTAGAATATATGAGTTAGCATCCATCCTGTGCACTGAAGAAGGCAAGCTTCACAATAAAGAGTGTGTGATCAGTAATTAAAGATTGTTCTTATATGCATAGAAAGGATGAGCTAAGTAATTTTTCTGTGACCTGTATCTTGATTATGAAAAGAAATTAAAGCATTTTGGGTTTGTGTTGCATATTTCTTCTGTTTTGACTTTATAAACAGATGTGTTGCAATAACTAATTTCAAAACTAACAATTCTGTATCATGCCTATGATAATTCTTAATCTTTAGGGAGATGGTCAAGCTGAAGGGAAAATGCTCAATTAGTGCTGATATTTATGTGTTCTAATTCAACCATTCCCACACTTTGTGTCCATTACTGTGCTCCACTTTTGCAATTACAAAATAATGAAGCCATTGTTCAAATTTCATCTCCAGATCAGGGGGACGTGCCAGAGGAGTGTGAAAGTGATGCGTTGCTTCCATCTGGGGACATCGTTAATGGAAACTGTGTCACAGCTCCTGTGCCAGCAACAGCCACTTCACTTCAGGATTTAAGTGAGTTCTCAGCTCAGACAGAAAATAAAATATGTTTTTTATATGTCAAATGTGTAATCAAAAAGCCAAATATTTAACATTCTGTAGGTGTGTATGCTGGTGTGATTGAAAAATTTTCCAAAAAGTGCTAATGTTATACTAAAGAGGAAGGAGTGTTTTCTTTTGCTGTTCTGTATGAGGATGACTTTTTTTCACCCTAGTTTTAGATAAATTTCATTTTAATATTTTGCCACCTGTCCCACCCCCCTGTCCAGCTTCTGCAGAGGTGATTTGAATTTTTTTTTCTTTAGGATAACTATTACATATAACTTCTGCTCCTGATAGAAATTTCTGCTCTTGATAGAAATAAGACATGAAATGTTTTGTTTTAAAGTATTTTATGTACTGCTTGTCTGGATTTTTTTTCTTTTTTCTTGACTTTGTTGGTGAACTATTATCGCAAGGCTGTTTTAATTCTTTGGGTAGATGAGGATGATTTCAGGTCAGCATATGCTGCTTTTCTAATTGTTCTACATGGAAGCATTATGATTATTTTTATTTAGAGAAGACCTTTCTAGCATCTCATGATTCCCAGTACTTAAGTTTGCCCCTCTTGTTACTATCTGATGCTGTTCTATGTAGACTGCTCTTTAAATACACTGGTCACATCAGCAGTGTGTCCCGCAATTAATTTCAAAGGGGTTTTAAGTACTTTGCTTTATAAATATAAAGAATTGTATCCAACCACATTGCAGAGATGGAAGAATATAGTAAAATGGACTTTGGGATAACAAAGGTTTAATGAGTGCCCATGAGAGGAATGAGAAGTGTCATAGACTTGTCAACTCTCTCGCCTCTACTTCGGCTCTACTGCTTAACTCTTAGTGAGTCATATATCAGGCTGAAAATGTTTACAGGGGAAAAAACATTACCCAATACCCAAGAATAATTTTGATGTATGTATAAACAGTATATCCAGTTGTTTTTCATTTACTATTAATGTTATACAGGAGCCTGGTACTTATTTGTATGCTCTTGTAGCAATTACTGAACTACATAAATCAGATGACAGATGTTGAAATAATTTTTCACAGAGATGCTGGATCAAAGACAGATTGAAGAACAGAACAGAGAAGCTGAGGAAAACTTAGAAGAAAGGAAAGCAAGAGAAGAAAGGAGAGAGAGAGAACAACAGGAAGCTTTGGAAAGCGAGCAAGAAGAAGTGGAAAAGCTTAACAAAGAGATGGTAACTTAATAAGTAATGGAGCTTTGTAGTGCCCTGCATTTTAGGATTGCTGTGTGTGCCACTTGTTTAAAAATAGATTTTATTCTATGAAGTGGAAGTATCAGAGGCTAAGTTATTTTATGTACCTGTGTGATCAACTAGAGTCTCACTAGAATGTCTCCTTATGCCAAGTAACTTTTTCACTGGAAACAGATGCTTTTCCTTCCATGCTTCATGTAACTGGAAACTACAGTTTTATGGCCAAAACTTGGAAGGCCACTGTCACCAGGCAATTGGAACAAGCTATACATTCACTGTCTTTCTGGTCTGGACCAGTGCAGGTGGGACACCACCAGAACATGTTAATGTCCATCTGCTTATTACTCCTTGTTTAAATAGTGTTTATTAACTTGTGTTTAAATAGTGTTCTGGATTTCTAGGTCCTGTGTAAAACTTATTTTTTGCTCCCGACCATTTAATCTTCCTCTCCTCAGCCTTAAATTGGTTAATTTGATTCAGTGCAGTGGTTGGTACTGGTAAGACATGCTCACACAACCCTTGGCACCAGCAAATGAGGCCCTTCAGGAAACTTGCATGTCTGTGCCTGCTCATCATCTTCAGTTCACACGCAGTTGTCACACATCACAACCTCAGGCCCCACAGCATCTCCGACATCCAGACAGGGTTAGAGTGGGACTTCCTGAATATCACTTTTTGAATGGAAGCAATAGCTTAACATTTCATCTTGAACGGCATGTGATAAGTTTAATGCTGTTTAGACAGATGTGTTCTACTGAGGTTAACATGAAATCCTGCACATAGTGCAGGCATTAAGGTATAAAGGTATTTTTCTGTTCAGTATTTAATCTTGCTTTTTTGTGTCTTTAAGTATATCCAGGACTCGATGACAATAGATGAAGAAAAAGAAGATAAGGAGGGAGTAAAATCTGTGAATAGCAGTTCTGGTGCTGAAGATCATGTAAAGGATCCTCCTTCAAATCCATTAGAAAAATACATGAGAATAATTCAGCAAAGCAGAGAGCAGGATCTGTCAAACAAGGTGATTATCATCAAAACATGGTCCCAAAAATATTATTGACTGAATTTGTGTCTTGGTAGGCATGCTTAGAACGAAAACAATATTCGCATTTTAGTTTTTTCTTCATTTAGAAACCTTATGTAACAACTTGCAGAGCAGAGTGTTTGGATTTGTGTTGGAGAAACTGTGATGATCCAAAAGAAATAACACTGAAAACTTTCTTCTGTAAGGGTTGCTGGTGTTCTCTGGGCAGGGGGTTTGTTAGTTTGGTTTTTTTGGGTACTAGGACAATAGGAGGGCCAACCCTGTCCTGGGAGGCATCAGGCAAAGCATCGCCAGCCGGTCGAGGGAGGGGATTGTCCTGCTCTGCACTGGGGCAGCCTCACCTGAATATTGTGGCAGTTTTAGGCACCACAATATATGAAAGCTATTAAGCTATTAGAGAGTGTCCAAAGGAGGGCAATGAAGATGGTGAAGGGCCTTGAGGGGAAGCTGTATGAGGAGTGGCTGAGGTCATTTGGTCTGTTCAACCTGAAGAAGAGGAGACTGAGGGGAGACCTCATTGCAGTCACAACTTCCTTGTGAGGGGAAGAGGAGGGGCAGGCACTGATCTCTTCTCTGTGGTGACCAGTGACAGAACCCAAGGGAATGGCCTGAAGTTGTGTCAGGGGAGGTTTAGGATGGATATTAGAAAAAGGTTCTTCACCCAGAGAGTGGTTGGGCACTGGAACAGGCTTCCCAGGGAAGTGGTCACAGCACCAAACCTGACAGAGTTCAAGAAGTGTTTGGATGATACTCTAAGGGACATGGTGTGACTCTTGGGGATGGTCCTGTGTAGGGCCAGGAGTTGGACTCAATAATCCTTGTGGGTCCCTTTCAACTCGGCATATTCTATGATTTTACAACTTAAATGTCCTCAATTTTTAGTTTGTGTTTAAATACAGTTTGAATCTACACAGGTCAGTTTGTGTTCCACTAACACAACTAACAATTTATTCTGGCCAAATGGAACATTTGACATTAAAGAAGAGGTATGAGTGGACATTACTTAAGTGAAAGAAATGCAGGATGCTTTGTTCACACATGATCCCAATCTGAATTTCCAAAGTGTTACTATTCTAGATTCAATGTAGTATTTGTAGACATAGGGTAGGTGTTTTAAAAATACAGATACTATCAATAGAGTCACTTACATTTTGACTTAAGAACCAGTTTTAGAAAGTGTGTTTTTTCTCTTGGTTGCCAGGATTCAAAAAAAGAAGAAATAGGAGAAGTATCACATTCAGAGGGACTTCTATCTAGTGAAAAGGATGACAGGTGAGGCTCATGTATTAATAATTTCTACTACTACGTATTAATCCTAAATATTAATTGCTATTACTACATAATAATACTAATTATTATTACTCCAAATTAATAAATAGTTACAATATGAGTTACACTTAAGAGACATTTGCCTCCTTAAAAAGCAAAATAAATTAGCAATCAAGAACAAATATATTGGAAAAATGAAGATCCTTCCAATTCTTACACATGCAAATTGAGCACTATGTGGTGCTTAACTTGCATCTGGGAGGTGCATTCAATGATCTGTTTCAGTAGCTGTGGCAGTTACAACTTTTTATCTGCAACTGAGGAGCATCCAAATTCCTTCACAGTGAGTTGATAAGGGATTCCTCTTGGGTGATGACCCCATGTGTGAAGGTTTGTCTGTGCTGCACCTTACCCATAGTCTGTTACTAGCACTGACTCTAGATTTGATTTATCAGTAGCATCAGACTTTTAACATGGTTTTTTCCAAGATCTGACTGCCTGCACTGAGTTACGACAGCCCGGGCACTTCCTCTGGTTTTCTCTAGGCGTTGCTAAGTAAGGGTATGTAGGTTTTAGTTGCTCGAAAGGGAAAAAAATCAAACAACCTCCTATCAAGTCTTTCAGTTTATTTGATGACGTAGAATTGAAAATAAGCAAAAAAGGTGGAGCAGTTAAAAAAACTAAAACCCTAAAGGCTCACCATAACCGTAGTAATGATTCATTATTATGTGTGCCTTTAAAGTGCTGTTGAACACAGCAGACCCTACCCTGGTGCTCCTGTGGTGGCACCACTAGTGTTGTTTTCACTGGGTAAGCACTACAGAAGCAGCAGATAGATAGTTCTGCTTTTTGAGAGATAGGTAATGGCTTTCAGTTAATGAAGGCCCAAATCCTCACCCTTAAGGGCTGTCTTATTGCCATTAGTTCCCTGAAACATCAAGAGAATTGCAGCAGAGGCAGTCTCTTTACTCTCTTTCTAAAATGAGTATTAATATTTAAGATTTAAGACAAGAACTACTTTGGACTCATACCACTTTCTCTCTCTCTAATCAATACAGTGTTGCAGACATTTCTCATGGAGACATGGATGAAAGCTTCTGGTGAACAATAGCTACTGATTTTTTAATTTTAATTATTATGATAAGAAAGATGTTGTTAAAGCAGCTTTCTGCCTGTAAAAAGTTGTAATAAATGTTAAGCACTAACATTGCAGGCTGTGTAATTATAAATTAATAAAGCTGATTTTGAGCCGTCTCATCACTTCAGTCATTGACTTCAAATAGCGAGTCCTGATGTGCCACTAATCCAGGAGGAAGCCCTTGGGTGGGGTTACAGAAAGGACAAAGCAGAGAACAGAAACTGATCAGGATGTTTGGGTAGATTTGTTTTGGCACTGAATTCCTGGAAACTTTGACAACCCCCACCTCCCAACCCCTTCTCCTCTAAATGGTGCAATGTGTGGGTGAAAGTAACTGTGTGCAGGTAACAAAACATTCAGTCATCATCACCTGCTTTAAAGGTGTCCCGTGGAGACACTTGGCTTGCACAGTTTCAGAGTGTCGAGTGTGACAGACTCAAACTAACGTGCCCATTCTACTGCTGTGGCAGGGGCAGCAACCACTTCCAAAAGCAGCCCATCTCATGTATCACCTTGTTGGTATTAACCAGCCCAGAACGGAGAGATTAAAATAAAAATGCTATTTAACTCATCTTTATTTAAGCTTTGTATTTTGTAGGTAGATTATAGGCAAGATCATTAAACTTTATTTACAGTATAAAATACAGTAGTTTTTATCAATGAAGTAATTTTGGGTGGCAGCATATATTACAACTTGCACTGCATTTGAGGCTGCTCATCTTGATCTAACTACAAGAACATGAAGCCAAGTTTGACAGAATTTAGGGGCAAAAAACAAAGCTCTGTCTTGAATTCACTGGATGTTGAAACACAACGTACCAAAACCGTGACAGATACAAACTTTGCTTTTTGAAATGAAGCTAAAATGTGAGATGGTGGCTAGTCTTAATTTTACATGCTGCTTAATTTGCTGTTGCAGCCACGTTGGCCTTCACAAAATTTCTGAGAGACTCCTCCTGTTCGGTGTCGGGAACAGGACGGGTAGTGCTTGTTGCATTATGCTGGCCTGGAACAACTACCACTACTTCATGCTAGACACACTGGCTGCCTCACCACACTGCAGCCTGCACCTACAGGGCATCCCCTTCCCTGCAGGAGGGAGCGGGGAACTAGGGAACACAACGTGTTTCACTTCGGATAGAGACAAAAAGCCTAGAGATGCACTGCCATGGAGTAGCTGTAGGTCTGTTTTCAAATAAGCATACACAAGTGTTGTCTATTATCTACAAATATTTATTTTAACACTTGGATGTAACTACAGGAAGCCCTTGGCACTGATAGAAAATATTGATTCACTGTTAGGTTACAAAAATTTATACATAGCAAAATTTAATGCTCTTTACATAAAAATATTAGACTACTTAAACAAAACTTCAAAAACTCCCAGTAATAGCTACACTGAATTAGAAAAGAATTAGGCTTTAAGACACTGCCTCCATTATTACCCTTATGCAAACACTGGGCTAGAACATCACCTGCATTGCTGTAGAAATGTCTCCTTCATGCAACAGGTAAGAACATACACTAGGCTATTTTGTCATATTTGCTCTACATCAATCAACTTTGCCCCTTTTTTGAAACTGTCAAATTAGACTTCAATATTTAACAAAAAAATTATAGTTGAAGTTAATACCCCCAAAAAATACCTTTTCTCATAGTACTGATTTGAAGGAATTTGTGCTTCCTTTGATGTATATTCAGCAAACAGAACTATCAAACCACACATCAGCTTAGCAGGGGTATGACTTGAATATTTAATTTTTTCAAATGAATGATGTATTTTTACTTCCCCCCCCAACATTTATATATATATATATATATCATATAGAACAAACACCAAATATACCATCACTAATACTCAAGATATCACTGAATGCTTCTGAAAAAAACCATTAATTAGAAGGCAGACTTCTATGGGTAATGACTTTAAAATGGCACCAGTTTGTTTGTTTTTCTTTTGTTTTTTTTTCTGAACACCACGTTTTCTTAGTGTGCTAATTAATTTGTAAAAAGGAAAACACATAAGCACTGACTATAAATTTGCTAAGCACCAAGATAGAAAAAGGTGGACATCCTGTATTATTTTTTATGGCTGTAATTTTTATTGTTTGTGTAAAACTCTGCAAACTTTCTCATCCACTCATTTGGAATAGTCAAATCAGTGTCATTTTAATAAGGTAACACTTTTCACTTATTTAAAATGTAGGATAATGGTCTCCTGCCACTATATAAATGCTAAGACATTTATAGAAAATAAATATTAAGGCAAAGCTGACATTTATTTTCAAAGAAGGGGATCATTATCCAGATCCAGGGGTCTACATTCCATTAAATAGTTAATAAAAAGATTAGAACTTGGGACATCTGCTCGACACTCAGGTAAGCACAGGGACGTGACGGCTTCATCACGGACAAGTGTGGCACCAGGGTGGAGTGCTGCTCCTGTGGCCCACGTTCCAAGACAGCCTCCTTGCAACTTGGGAGATGCTGCAGCTGCGCCTCACGTAAGCAGAAGCCTACACCAGGAATCCCAGGTGGCTACAGGTTTGTTTGGGAGACACTCAATGACACACCGTGCACGTGCCTGTGCCTGAGGTCTGCACAGATCTCCTGCCTGCTGGTTTGGAGCACCTGCCACCGTTTGGTGCAGGACATGATGCTGTAGAACAAGTCAAATGTTAAACACCAAAAGTCTCAAAGAAGAATCATTTGGTCGCTTTTTGTAAAGTGTTGCCTTTTAAAATGCCTGGAATAAACCCTCCATTCTCTGTATGAAAGGATGGAAGATTACCCATGGGAAGATTTCCCTATTAAAGTGTTCCAGGAGCTGGAATGTGAAGCTTTTGCACTTGTCTCTAATTTTGTTTGGTAGACACACATCTGTACTGCAGAGCAGCTATTTGCTGATTTGTCAGAGCTACAGAACTCTTCTGCTGAATTACTGTGGCAAACATTTATGTGTAAGAATTGAGTTGCTCTTTTGACCGAGACTGGATATCCTGAAGCTCCTGCTCTTCTTTTGCTTTGATATCTTGGTAGGCCTGCATTTTGCTTGCATCCTTTAAGTAGGCCCAGTTAGAAGACAGTATCATGAGGAAGTGGATCTGGAAGAGAAGGGTGAGCATGATGGCGAGTGAGCATGTCAAGAGGCAAAGCAAGCTGGTAGTTAGATTAATAGACGCTTTTTAAAATAACAACCAAAAAACCAAGTTATTCTACGTTAATAAGCATTCTGTTATTAAAACAAGCACAGAGGCTATTTTCAAAGATCTCTAGAATTTGGCATGCTAATAATTCAGTTGGTTATTCACAATTCAGAGAAAGTTAGTATAACAATATTAAAAAGAGCTACAGAGTCATACGGATCAATTAAAATGCAGAATGGGGGGAAGCAGGAAAACAGTTTTGTAGGTGGCAATATACGTAATCAGTAACCTATGAGGTGCTCAGAAGAACTGCTTTCTAAGGTTGTGGTGTTTATGCATATCCAAGGCCAGAGCCTGGTATCTCTTTCCCCCCAACAAGCAGATGAGAATTCCACCCTCCCCATGGAAAAAACCTGAAACTGTGAACCGTTTTATTTACGCGAACAAGGCTACATTAACACACTGAAAAATTAAACATCAAAGTATGAGTCCAAAACTAAGCAAAAGCATGCAATCTCCGGGTTAAGAAGTCTTAATCCTGTATTTTTATAGCTACATTTTAAACTTCCATTGTCCAACCTCAGGTGAAGAGTTTTACATAACAAACGGTTCTCTTTTTTTAATTATTGTGTAGATTTCTTTCTAATTTGTGCATTTGTCTCTTGCCAACTTCTTTTTCCCCATACTTCATGCAAAAACATCTACATTTGAAAACACTGATTCACTTCTCTTTTTTTTCCCCCAACAGTGTAAAAAGTTCCTTGTGATCTATGCATGGTTTTGCTTCCCGTGCAGTCATACTTACATTTTTGAGATCTGGCTACTGAGAAATCAGTTACTAAAGTGCAGTCACACAAGAACAGAAGCGATTTATATACCATTTCTTACTAGTTCAGGGTCCAAAAGAAAGAATGTGATTGTTTTACGCAGAGCTAAGACAAGGATATATTTTCTTCTAGAAAGAGCATGATTTGACAATTACTTGGAGTAAGAGAAAAAAATTGACTTCATCATCCATGGAATCACTTGGAACTACAAGCATATTAATTCATAATACCTGGTCTCTGCCAAAAAAGACTGGCACTACTTGTTTATTCCTTTGCTTTTGCGTTATATATATTGTATGCTTGGGGGTATTTGTATTTGGCTTTCATGCTAAAGAATAAATTAATAATTCTGACCCTGAACTGTTTCCAGTATTTGTTTGAGATGACTGTTAGAAAGCAAGTGGAGACTTGAAATGAAAACATCCCCTTTTCAGAAGGATGCTTTATAAACACCCCTACAGTAACTGAATCCTCTCAACATAAAAAAAATAGCCAGATCTCGTCCACATCATAGTTCATATACAAGAAGTCATTTTATTAATCTGATAAGCTAAACGATGCTTACTGAAGCTATTTACAATTACTGTAACAAAATTCAGAAAGCTAGACTTTTAGCCTAGGGTGTCAGTGGTATTTCAAGCTACGCAATGCAGCTCTTTACTGGGCTTATACAATTTAGAATTTAGTGCAGCAATCTTCCCGACTCTTAAACTTCAAAACAGCATAGTTATATGTAGTAGCCATCATGTAGATCAGCTGGTGGAAGAGAACAAAATACAGGAGAGTAAGATACAACAAGGTGACGGCTCAAGCCCACTTGGGCAACTGTTGATACTTTTACAACAGACGTTGTTCTGAGCTTCTTCCAGGGTGAAGATGCAAGATAAATAACCTGCCATTTATCTGGGGAGGATAACCCAAAACAGACCCTAGGCTATTCTGTCAACAAATTGTGAGTGTTACACCTGGGTTTGGCTGGCACAAGGTTAGAAGCTGGCCGCTAAAAGAAGCGTTAGACGTAGGAAGCAAGTCATCTTGTTAACATCCCTTTTCCCAACTGCTACCTGTAACTGGCATTGCAGGCTTGGACTAGTCAATCTGCCTGGGTCCAGACAAAAAAAACCAAGAGGTTACAAGTGGCTGATCAAATAAAC